CATCGAAGCCCTTGTTTGGTTTCAATCCTTTTCAATCGCATTCAACCTGTGGGTGCCACATGCGGTGAACAGAGCAAAAGTTGATGCAATAAAAGTCAAGAACAATCAAAGGGACACACAGATTTTGAGTAATTTATAGAAACTTCACCTGCCAACCTCAGCGCAAATGATGGCAAGTAGAAAATGGGAGTCTTAAAGCATGTTTTCAGTGTGATTTGGTGATTATATGGGGATGGGACGGGATGGGTCAAAACCTATGATTACCAAATTTGGAGAGTAAACATCCATAACCCTATGAATGTCATTAATTGTGACCCATCCTCCAACATAGACCCTGGGAGCTTGTTGGGGCTTGGGTCAACCACTTCCCCCTCTAGACCCTGTGCAGTCCTTCCGGGGATGGTGTAATGAGAGCCCCACAGTTATAAGTTGGTGTCTAAAATCTGCTGTAAACTATAAACTATATAATATACCATAGCCTATCTATAAATGCCATAAATCAACTTGCCTATCTTGGGGGCCCCACATTAGAATTCTTCTAATTTCTCTAGATATGGCCCCATCAAGCTTTGGGCTTTCAGAGCGCTTGAAAACAGCATGGTGCCTAGGGGTGGCTAGTCAAAACTCATCATGGAGCTCAGCCTCAAATAGCAACATTGGACCAGATTAGAAGATATTGACTGGTGGTTTGGAATATTTTTTTATTTTTCTATATATTGGGAATAATCATCCTAACTGACTAATATTTTTCAGAGGGGTTGAAACCACCAACCAGTATTGTATGGATATCCTCTTGGAGAGTATATACACTTCATGTTGGAAGATATCGATAGACAACTAGTCCAGTTGTTTTTCTTGTTTCCCCCAAAGTTGGAAACGTTCACAACGCTGAAGTTGGAGCCCCAGTGACGCAAGCGGTGAGATGGTGCAGAAGTCGAGTCACGCCAGCTGTTTGGCTCGAGTCCAGGCTGTAATGTTTCTGAGAGACAGAGCGAATGAATTTCCAGTGGTTTCCACGAGTCAAGATGAACTTCGAGCTTGCCATGTTAATGCTGTGGACCAACAACAGCTTTTTGAAGAAAGCTTCCTCTACTGATTTTTCATCCATTTGCCAGTTGCTTTGGATTGGTCACTACTTGTAGTAGCCAAGCTCTGAAAAGCGGAGAAGACCCGGTACTTGACATGGCTTCGCGCAAGCGGGCTGAGAACCTTGCGAAATCTGCGCTCGAAAACCACCACGTAGAGGAGCACGTTATCTGTGAGGTGCCTTGGTACCTTGGGGGGTAAAGGCCAGAGATTACTTTCATGGCTACAACGATGGGAATTATCCCCCACATAAGTTGGATTACAAGCCCTATAACTATGGTGAAATATATCCAGTTATAACATGTTATAACTGGAATATACTACGCGTGCTACCGCACTACCAAGATATGAGTTTTTTTTGGGACCTACTGATGAGACCCCAGTGAGTTGCCATGGTCCCGGAACATGGCTTTTGAACATGGGAGTAGGACGGAGTAGGATGGGAGGAGTCCAAAAAATGGGGCTTCCCTAGAACTTCTTAGAACTTCCACGTTTTTTTCGCGGGCTGAAGACCGACACCAAGTCTAGAAGTCGAGGGCAGGTTTTTGGATAATGAGAAGGGTGGGATATCAAGTTTATCAACAATGCGAAGCCGCATCTTAGTGGGTTGATCCTATCAACAGCTGGGTGCTATTACAAATCATAATTGTAAATCATGCGATGCTCAGTTACACACAATAGCAAAGCACGAAATTGGGGATCGCTTGCTGGTGTGAATCCCACATTATATATAGGTTTGTCCCAAAATGGTATGAGTTGAACAGTTTCCGTTTTGACATGGCTGTATTTTTGTGTATCTGTATACCCTATTTCCGGGCAAATCGCATTTTCGTCATTTTATTGGGGGTGTATAGGCTAGGCATAGTACGATGATAATTCATATCACTGCGGTTGGCCGATTGGAGCCGACTTGGCAGTCGGGGTGAAAATGGATTCTAGCCCCCATGCGTGGGGATATGGGGTCTAAGTCACTGTGGTTATATATATATATATATATTATATATATATAATATATATATACGCCCAGGCCGCCTGGTTCGCCGTCGGCGGGGTAATTTTCTTCAGGGCAGCCAAGGTACTCTGTTCTCATCATAGCAGTCTGCAGGACTTGTTCGCACAATTCCTTTGGAACATGCAACCCTGTACACCTGCAGTGCTGTGAACGTAGCATTTACACCCTGAAAACAAAGCGATAACGTAGCATTGAAACCCAGAAAACCGCGCGCGTTGGGACGTTATTACACCCCCCCCAAACCCTTCCCCCCGAACCCCCCCCCCCCCCCCCCCAAACACAAAAAGATGCATGTCAAGCGACGGCGAACCAGGTGGCCTGAGGGTATAATATATATATATATGCTCAACCCCCCCACCAGGGCCTACCTTTTTTTCCTATTTCATTGACTGTTTCATTGCGAGGTCAACAATCTGCTATCTGCTATCTGCCAAAAGAAGCAAAAAAAAACACAAATACCATAAAAACCAAAAACAAACGAAAAACAAAAAAACAAAAAAAGCAAAAACAAAAACAAAAAACACAAAAAACCGATGCATTGGAGAGCCTTCTCCCTTCCCCCATCCCAAAGTAGGTCTCCCATTTTTTTTGAGTTTTTTTTTTTCTTTATTATTTTTTTGTTTTTCTGTTTTTTTTAGGATTTCTTTTTTCCTTGGTACCCCTCCCCTTCCAAAACCCAACTCAAAACAAGTCATCCAAAATGTGTATATGTTTATTCTTTCTGGTGTGGGCGAGAGGTGGTGAGCTAAGGAGTTTAAATATATTATATATACCCTAGGGATCCAACCCCCTAACAAACAATGGTGGTTAGTAGAACTTCGTTTGTTTGTTTTGGGGGGGTGCCACAGCAGGACCCCAGCACATGCATAGCTTTTGTTCCCCAAGCAGTGAAACGTCAGCCACGCTTTCTCTTCAATCGCTGAGCCACATGTGTGTTGAACCTGGGATGATAAGCAACAACAGAACCAAACCGTACAAACAACACAGACCCATTACAAAAGGAGGTAACTGCTACCTGCGCATTTCAGACATTGTTTGTGAGCGAAACTTGTGATGACTGCTAATCCAAATTGAAAACTGACAAGTAACCTCTTGATCTTCAAATGCGATGCCCAAATCCTGCAAATCAGTCGGGAACCAAAAACAGTGAACCAACACGCGCTGAATCTAAAGCAGTATCTTGAAAGAATCTTGGTTGCGACTTGCCCTGGCAAACCAAACAGTGATTTTATGGTACCATGGCTATGCATCATGACGGTGGCATTGGTTCATGTGTACTTGGTTGGGTGGGTCGTGCCTGAGTTTTCCACAACGCATAATCCAACTGATTGCCCGGCTGGGGTGAGCTTTCAAGTAGACTCCTTAGCCACTGAGTACCAGTACCGATTGCTTCAAACAGCGCGCAGTAAAAGCAGCTGGTAGACGAGTAGACGAATCCAAAGTACCAAGGGAAATGACAATTAAATTAAGAGAAATAATTGGCACAACAGTTTAGAAACTCGACTGGCACCCACATTTGAACATCATCAGTTGGCCCAATGCAATCTAGTAACCCTTGATCCATGCCATCCCATCCTCATCAACGAATCCATGGAAATGGCGAGGATTGCTTCCTCAGCTTGGGGGGTCGGCTGGCAGGGTCTGTGGTGAGCCACCAGGGTTGCCATGGTTCGGTGAAGCAAACCTTTGCCTAGGCTCTGCGGTCTCGTATGCAGACCAGTAAATGCCACAGGCCCTTAGAAGTAGAGCAGGTGGAAAGTCACATGATGAACCATTAAAGGCTTTTGTTGGATCCCTAGGGTATATAATATATATCCTATATTTGGATATACAATAATTATTATATATATTTTTAATAGATCGATAGATGTATTCATTATCATGGATACATGTCTAGATCGAGAGAGAGATATTCACAATGGTTTGTTTCTTTAAAGTCTGCGACCCAAAGATGTGTTCAAACAAGATCCAGTTCACAAGACGTATTAACTTCCGAACGCCCGCGCAGCACTGTGCCAACGAAGGCACATGACATTTGGGTTTCAAGAACCACTCCTGGATCCCAGCCCTGGCATTGCATGGTCATACTAAGACCTTGACAGACCTGTGGAAACAATCATATGCACTCATTCTTTGATTCTTCATATTACTAGGGAGAATATGGTCACTAACTAGACCCCCTCGCCTCAAGGACATATAGGTGAGAGTCTTGTAGACTTTCAAGAACTCATAGCCTTCATGAAACATAGCTTGGGACTCTTCAGCAGTCCTAAGTTCCGGTTCCATTATGTTGACAACATAACCTACTAAACCTAGTCGAAGCGAAGCATGTGTATCAATGCAGTTCGATGGAAAAATCCAGACAAAACCAACCACAACGAGTTTCAGATAGCGGCCAGCTCGCTCCATCATGCCCAAGAATCTGGACATTCGCCTCCTTGGCAGGACGCCAGGGTTGGGAAGGATCTGATCTGGGCATTTGCAAGGAGTTCTTACACCTGATATCCAGAAAAAATGGTGGACATACTCCAAAAAATAAAGACAACTAATCATCAATTTCAACAATTGTATTTAAGTCATCTTTGAAACGAAATGATTGTATGTTGTCACACCGTTACTTGAACGACATATGTGATATAAGCAGTATATAATATATATGGCAAGTTAACATGAAACACAGTGAGCAATTGAGTAAATAGTACTATTAATTTATGTATTTATGAAATCACATTATCAAATATCACAGGCATGGTTCCAAACCAGCAGTTGTCATGCCAATGTTTGTGCGTTTCGTATTTGCACGTTTGTGTGGCAAAAAAAAAGTCCTGTACAAACTTTGTGATCGAACAAAATTAAAAGAAAATTGGTTTTCATAGTTTATATTGATAACCAAAGTTTGGGATCATAAAGAGCCCATGCATGTAAACACTCCACATTCAGAGATTGCCAGCCAGAGCTTCAAAGCAGCTGCAATCAAATGAAATCGCCCATCGCATTGTGGCAAGCCCTCACAAGTACTTGCCATGTAGACCTCATGGGTCAGCCATTCCAAGACCACACGGCCATTGTAGGCTTTCGCAGTGAAAAGGATGTCCGAGTTCTTCTTGAGCAACTTAGTCGGCAAAGTGAATTGGCAACCCTGCCCCAATTCCGATCATGATGCGCAGGTTTCTCTTTTGAAACTGAACCATCTCTGGGAATGCGCAATGCAAAAAAAACGATAGAACCAGTATCAGGTCAGGGCACCATTTTTTCTGTGAAAGGTGGCTGGGAGCATTCGATTTTGTTTGCAGAACACCACTGCTTGAACTTCGCATATCCCCTTGCCAGTTTCACTGAAACTGAAACCTCGTCATGGCCAAACCAGCCGCATCGAAGTAACAAATTCCTGGGCAGCGGTTGGATGGTTCTAAGGTGTTTCTCACTTATACATCGCGTCAGCAGCACACAAAGCAAAAAACAAATCATGTGTGACTTCGAATCATACTGCTGTGTGCGCTGATGTGCTGTAGGCTAGATTCATGCCCGATCCATTGCAAACAAAGAGGAGCCCCAGATGAACCACGTGCATCAGGCACCAGCGAATCATACTTGGGTGAAAGTTGCGAAGTCCAACGAGAGGACCTGGCTGCAGACAAGGATGGATTGAAAACCCACCTCTTGCCAGCCAGACATCACAAAGCATTGAGAAGCAAAACTTTAATTTAGTTACAGCACCAGGAAACACACCCCTGAAGGAGGCATTCGTTCCGCCAAGAATTCGTCACGGGTAAACAGCTGGTCATTCCAGTTGCTAGAATCGAATGACCAATAAAGGTCAGCTGGATCATCTGATTGGGACAAAGCTCTGCACCAATAGCAAATCTTGATTCCATTCCAAGAGCAGTTGTGAAAGCGGAAAGTTCTTTTGTGCCATTGCCAGTCCCCACGGATCTCGGTTATGGCACACCTGAATTTAAAAGGTTGTCCTGCTAGATCTTGCAGGTGCTTCGGCAACTGCTCACCATATGGCCCCTGATCAGGGTGACAGCCATCACACAGGCAGTTTAGGGACCATGTCACCCTTCGTAAAAGGACTTGGATGGTATGATGACGCCAGCATTTCTCCTCAGGAATGACCGTCACCAAGAACCGGGAAGCCCTGACAGTCTTGGGTTTCCAAAGCGGAATGTTGAAGTAAATGCCAATGCAGTTGGTGGTGTCAAACTTGGTGTTCACCCTGGCTGCATCCCCGTAGATGCCCAAAGGGACCGCATCAACAGGCACACCTTGTGCCCAAGGCTCGCCGTACTTGGAGTTGTGCTCCCAATATTCCCTCAAACATGATGATGGAATTCTCAATCCAGCGTATTCAAAGAGGAAGTGCGCAATGGAGTGTGGATCCATTATTGGCCATTCTTCAATCCTGAACTTTTCAAGGCCATCTTCTAGATCCATGTGCTTCACTGGAAGTTTGATGCGTTCAATTGCCTGGGGTGGGCAAACATACACCTCATCGCTCCGGGAAAAAAAAGTAAGTTCTTGAATGTACGATATCGTTTTTTTTCAAGAACTGTTATTCTAAGCACACCATGCTTAGTCATACAGGGTTCGAAAACAAAAACAAAAACAACAATTAACATGGTGTTCAGTAGATAAAGCAGAACCACGATAGTTGAACAGTTGTCCATATAAGATTAAAAGGACTTATACACATAGAAACCCAAGTAGACATTATATGGGAAACATAAGCTAAGTATATTATAAGTATGGCCCGCAAGATGGATGGTGAAATTTGAGATCCTGTATTTTATATCGACCCTTTCACTGATCGTTATCTATGCGAACAAACTGCAGTATAGGTTTTATTTGAGAAAAACATTATAATATATGATATTGAAATTGGTCTCACCGAACATCAAAACAGTATTGGTTACCAAGTCACTGGCCCATCTTTGAAGTTTCTCCACCAATCCCTGGAATTGTTCCGGCCAGACATTCTACCCAGTTTCTTGGTCATACCATGCACGATGTGGCCATCTGAATCCTGGCACCGGGGTTTGCCTTTGATAATGGCTATTACGGGAATCCTGTAACCAATTCTAAACAAACACTGGTTCGTGAACATGTCTTTGCACCATGATTACCTGAGTACTATCACCATAATGTTAAAGATGTGTTCAGGTTTAATATGTTTATATGGGCATCAGTCACTTCAAAATTCAACATGGGGTGAATTGATGATTGTTGTTTGTTCGACATGGGGTGTTGACAAGGTTTTAAATCCACAGTTAATTTTATCGGTTGTTTTTGATTTATATGTTGATTTGGTACTGACTATACATGCACATGCATACATAGTGAACCATGGATAGATGATAACTAGAATGTACTATATGAAAACGATATAATATATTAGATAAATAAAATTAATATTATATGTAATATCATTAATAGTTTATTGGTTGGTGGTTACATCCCTTGGGTGTGGTATACAACTATTATAATATATATATATATCATATATAAAATATATTAATTATATATCATAAATATAATTATAATATTATAATATTATTTATATAATAATTATATTATATAAAATAATAATATAATATATAAATAAATATATATATATATATATTATATAATATTAATATATTATATTATAATAATATAATTTAATATTTATTATAATATGCATATTATATATATATTATATATGAAATATATCATCAATATATAAATAAATATTATATATATATCACATATTTTTTTGTGTAGAATGTATATTGATCATACTACCACTGCGTTGCTAGAACACTAGTTCATACGTTAATTAATCATATCATGCAATATGTGTTTTAAAAACTGCACATTGGCATGTTTTACATAATTATGCAATAATAACTTATATATATATATATTAATACGTACATTATATATATTATAATATATACACACTGTATTATATATTAATTATAACATATAATATAAGACTCACACAATTCCACCCACACAGGGTTCCTCGCTCACCCTTCTGGCAAGGAGCATGGGCGTGAGCTTTCAAAGCCTTCATCTCCTTGCCAACGCTGGATCCCTCAGCAGGACAACGGCAGTGGTTTGTACCAACCGGTTGGTAGTGGGTATGGGGGCTAATGAGGCATGGTTTCATTAATTAATATAATGATAAAGAAATAAGGTCTCCTCATAATTTTTTGGTTTAACACTCATCATCGAAAATGGGGAATAGAACATGTATTTTTATGTTGTGTGTCAGGTATTGATTCAAACACAAATACCATGTGTGTTGTCTTGTTTGAAACATTGACTGGAAATTTGGGTTTACATTGTTTCTTTTAAGGTATCCTTAATTTTGACAGCAGGCCATCCCACCTCTCTAACCAAGGGACACCACCACTGACTTCATGTATGGCATTTTCAAGCATCGCCGATACACCAGCATCATCAACACCTGCGTGGGGGCGAAGTCATAAGATTACACCAACCATGATTTAGTGAAGGGTTGTATATAAATTTTCAATAGCTCAAATCGATCCACTAAGTGTACCATGTTTTTTGGTTGGTGTCACAACCCGCATTGTTTTGGGGGTTGGTCACTCGCAATTTCCCAAGAACAGCTCAAAGACTGTGCAATGTTCGGTTGCTGCGGTCTCACATTTTCCAACCCTGGTGATGTCGCCTTCCAACATGAAATTATCGGATCTCCAAAGTATTGTGTTGTAAGCACAACATATTTGCCATGCCACACCTGCCTGCTTGACTCCCTGGGAGGTCTCCCACCAAACCCCAACAACAAAACAACAATATTTTTACACTTGATCGGTATAGACGTGATCAAGTTCATACGGAATTGGATCTGTGCAGGGAACCTGAAACTATAAGATTGTAATCAGATTGTTTACATTTGGTGGACCTCTGTTGTAGTTGTTTTATTTACAATGACAAGATTGTAGAATAGAACTCATTTATGTTTGGTGAACCTCCACATGTTGCAAGCCTAAGCAAGTACAGCCAACGAACGATCAAAATACCAGGTAATCAACCCAGTAGTTTCAACGGTCACTTCAGATTTGACCGGGTCAAAAAGTCCTTGAATTGGGCTTCATGTTGATCACTGTCCTTGATGAGTACCTCCAGACCGTTCACCTAAGTTGCAAAGCAATAGTTTGAACTAATGGCCTCATGCACGTGCATGCATGTTGTATATATCATGGAATGACTCATGGAATGCGTAATTTTTAAGATTATGCTTTTAGCTTCTCCATGCAATCATGAAGGGTATGTGGGCCAACACAATACTAAGCAAGCCCAGACATACGGTAAGCCAAGTTACGTCAAGATTGTCAATTTGATCTTGGAGGTCATCACGGATCTTGAGCAACTTCTTCTTGAAATGCACCAGCTCGCCCTCAATCGCTGCTCGCAACGCCTGAGGCCTGACAAGGGCAAAGCTGCAATGGCATCTCAGGAGTTTTGGTTGGTGGGGTGGCTGGTTAAAGATCCTGAGGCATGTTTGCATTTGTATTACGGGGTCTATTATAATAAAAAAAAATAGCGTTCTTTTATAGTTTATTTTATTTGCATGGTGACAGGTTTGATTGAAAGCCTGCAACAAGCTGTGTATGGGACATTATATGTGAACATGGATTGTGATTATTTTCGTTCATGAACGAAAATAAACACAATCCATGTACTTGATTGAACTGCTTAGATGAAAGAGAATTCTCATAGGATACTTGAGTGTTATGGTGGTGTTCATTCTTTAAATATTTGGGTTGCATCGTCTGAAAATTGTTAATGGCTTTGCCCCTATCACCTTTTTTTACCGATATGGAAGCCATGAAAATGAGTATGGATTCACATCAAATGCATGAAATATGATTGACATACCTGCTTTTTTGGAAACACCCACATGCCAAAACAGCCCACATTGTCACAATTCACATTGGGCACCTTGGGAAAAAGTATATGCTGATATTACCCATTGTTGACTATGTTCCTTTGATTTGGATGAAGTCTTACCCAATAGTGACCATAATGTTCCTCATAAGGAATGTTAATCTGTTGATCTGTGAATCTAGACTCTGAATCTATTGTTGATCGACATTCACCAACTGTGTAAGTAAGGACTGGGTTGATCAAAAAAATGCCGGTAAACCAGGTCATTGTGGCTTGGTTTCTTTTGCGGGGTTCATCATACAGTACCCCACGAGGCATAATCACGTGACAGCAACATGCATGTAATGTTGGTGTACTGGACGTTTTCCAGGTGAGTTAGAAATTAATAATAAAATCAATGGACAATCAATGGAACTTTGGCTTTGACATGGACTCCATCCTTAAGACCCAAAGGGAACCCACTGAACCTGGCGCAGTGCCAGAACCCCAGAACAAGTCACCTTCTTTGCATGTATTGTTTGCTGATTCCAAATCATTTCAGGCATATTTCCAACAAGAAAAAAATAACATCCCATTGCAACCATAAGGACTCATTTATTTGCCAAATCCATATGCCGGGGCTCTTAAGTTAGTCATTGTATATCATACATCAAGCTTTTATACCACCAGATGAGCTAGTGGAGGATTATGGACAAAAACCACCATGGTTTGTTGATACCAAATCACAAATGATTTGCTTGTACCAGAAACAACTACCTCGTCAGAAGTATCAACCAAGCAGATGATTCCACTGCTAATAATATATAAAATATATATAATTTATATATTATATAATAGATCAAATATATTTTTAATATTATATATTATATAATATATTATATTAATAAATATAATATATACAATATAATATCTTATATTATTATTATAATTAATTAATTAATATAATATAATAAATTTACATAATATATTATAATATATATATATATATTATAATTTTGTTATAAAATATATTATTTATATAATATATTATTTATATAATATATATAATATTTATTATTTAATTATAAAATACAATTATTATTTAATATAATTAATTTTATTATAATATATATATATAATATAATATAATATTATATAATATATATTATAAATTTAATATAATATTATATAATTGATGTATCATGTTCCTCGATCTATGCAATCTATTCCCAATTTGTTGCCACAACATTGCAACGCCGAGGCCCCCAGCATTTGGGCAACCATCTTTTCCTTCTTGCAGGCATGAGAGATCTTGTCGTTGACTCGGCTCATAGCCTGCGTGGCAATAACCCAACAGAAATTCAGAACAAATAGTAAAAAATCCTGGGGGTCAAACATGATATGCTGACATTCTTCAACATATACATGGCTGTCATTCTGATGACCATAGGTGTCAGTCCTAAAGATAAAAATGATCACCAATAAAAACAACAAGTCAAAATCAGTAAATTGCATGGGTAAATCAAGGCCGAGTCTCACAAGAGTAAAGGTAGACAACAACCCCATCAGAGCCCAGGGAGGTGATATAGATCTGAATTAAGTGTCTTTTTACAAAAGTTATATATCCCAAATAGGATACTGCAGCCAGGGTGGCAAACGGAAATAATTGTGATTGTCAATGGGGGGTACTTGGTCCAGTCTGGCCTTCTTGGCTTTTCCCAGCAGTTCCTTTTCTGCCTTCTCCTGCTCTCTGACTTTGTCCTTGTCACGCTTCTCCTGTTCTTTCTGCAAGCGTTTCTCCTTCTTTTCCTTCGTTTCTTTCTTCGCCTTCTTGCCCTTAGATTTCTTCTTGCTTTTCTTCTTTTCCTACCAAAATTTTGTCATCACCAGAGCACTCACTACCCCAAAGTCAGATTTGATCTATCAATTACCACATGTGGGTGAGACTGAAAACCTGGTCATAGTGTTGCTGGGATGGGACTGTTCACACACTAACAGCTTGTTGAGATTCATTCAGATTGATGAAACCTGTTGGATGGATACATCAAATTGAAACGCTGTATATATACATGCGCTACCTGACATTCAAGTCAAGTATGTGATTGGTACAAATTGTTTCTTACAGTAACCTGACCGGCCTCAGACGATGAGGAAGCAACGCTGACGGCGGAAGACCCACCACTTGACTTTGAGCGTTTCTTGCCCCTCTTCTTGTCCTTTTTGTCAGAACGCCCTCTGTTTCCCACCTCCTCGCTGTCGCTGTCAGCATCCACCGATTCGAAAATCTCTTCCAGCACCTTGTCTGAGGACTCCGAGATTCCCTCGGAGTCCCAGACCAAGTAAAGCCGCATTGCCTGCAAGTAGTATTGGAAACTTGCAGGATAGTCCAAGGGGGAAATCGAACAGTTCTAATCGTCAGATTCATAATATGTATGATACATTGATACGTGTGAAAAATAAAATACAACCAACATGATCATATATTATATATATAAGACAATATATATTAATTTATATTGTAACGTAATATATCATGCATGCATCCATGCAAGCATATTATTATTGTTATTATTAGTTTTGCATGGTGTATGCATGATGCACATTGGGTGGTCAGGGGTTCCAGGATAAGCAACTGGGAAGTTCAAATCGAAAAAAAATACTGCAGACCAAAACATGATCCAAACATGACAGCAATAAATGTAAGAGTGAACACCGAACACTAAAGTCATCTGAATTTGTCAGTTAGAAGTCATGTTTGGAAATTGTGGTTTTGAACATATTCACATAGAATCTATTTTAAAACCGAACAGTCATAACCCACCACCAAAAAATCCAAAAATGGTCCGGCCTCGTTCTGCGGGCAATCTGGGTGTGGCTTCGTATGACTTTCGTACAACTCAGCGTCCGTTAACTTTGTGTTGCAGATGTCATCTGCGATTTCCTCTGAATCATACTTTTTCACCAACTGCGAACGGGTGAGCCACACCCTGGCTCCGTGGGTGCGCTCCATCTTCTTCAAAGTCATGTGTTGGTACAGTTTCGATTCCTTCCAGTTTCCCTTTGATGACATCCACTCTTCCATCAAAACCTGGAGCTTCGAAGAGCCTCAGCCAGGGAACAGCATTGCAACGACACCACAGAATGTGTAACATATCCTCGACCTAGATGAAATGATGGTGACACTATATCATAAAGCAATTGTCTTGTTCCAGGCATCAACAGGTAAATTAATTAATGATGATTACATGCAAAATATATTTTGGATGTATTGTTGCTGTATTTTATTGAAATCAGGTCCCCAGGGCCCACATTACTAAAGAAATTTCATGACCATTTCCTACCAGTCCAAAACAACACAATATATCAATTATATTACTACATAATAATATTATTAATATAAATTAATAGTTTTTCTTTTCCGGGCAGGGAAACCAATCCACTCTTGTACATTGGCAGTCACTAAACATTATTACACGATTATAAGTGAGCTGTCTCGCGGGAGGCTGACACTGCCTGAACAAGTGCAACCCAGTGACAGTACTTGGCAGCCTTGTGCGCCTTCTGGATCTCTGGAGGCGAGTGGTCTTAGTGGGGGCCGATCATGTGGCCGTTTGTGGTTCGATTCAAACAGTGAATCATTTGACATGTAGAGCGTGGCTAAGCAATAGTCAAAATCCTACATCTTTACTAGACAAACTCCAAAACAGTATCAAACCAAAGAAACCACCGTTCTTATATTTCATAGGTTTGAAATGGTTATGGTTTCGAAATTTAACATCATGATCAGGCAGCCACCATTTGAACACACGGAAAGCAAATGAGCCATACCTGAGAACATGTACAATGTATTACAGTGTGTTTGTTGAGATCGAGATATACACACAACAAGTTTTAAACCAAATTGCTACATATCATATGAATGTCATATTGGTCAACAAATTTTATATCATATGAAGTAAAGGGCATAATCCAATCGTACAGCTTAAACGACGAAGCCATATTATTGAGGCACAGCTGTCGGACCCACCTACATGTGCACACATGTACAACACAACATGCAATGTGGTTGCACGGAGGACCCATGATCATTCAATAGAATAATTCCAATATTAAATGCATTAAATATTATATATAATAATATAATATATATAATAATATTATATATAGTATATAAATAAAATTAATTGATTGATATAATTTATTTGTAATATTATTATTATAGTGTACTTATTAATATTATCTATAATGCATATATTTGAATTACAATATAATATAATTAGTATATATCGATAGACATAATTCATATAAACACAAACATTCATGCATGCATTTATTCACACATTACGCGAAAATGCTACGTGTGAAATATAAAACATAATCTCATGATTTTTGTACAATGTTGCTCCCTGAAGTACACTCTTTCATGAGGAAGCAAGCACATGCGCTATAACCGTTTCATTGGCTTGGCCTACTATCATTGAACCAATGAACCAGAGCTGGGCTGGACGGTTGATCAGGCATATCACACAGTGACACAATATGAAAGATATTATTAGAGAAAGCACCACCAGTCTAAACATGTTGTTGAACAACCAACCAGTAAAGAACCAAAGATATGAGATACCAAGTCATGCAACCTAGGCACTCATGATGTGCCGGGAGAAGCGCATAAATCGGGCATGGTTTGCCTTTTCTTGCGGCGTTTTTTCTCGACGTCTTTTTGGAACCACAGCCTCCACAGCACCAGGTTGTGTGTTACCATCCCCATTCCCTTGCGGGGCAGCTGGTGTGTCAGCTGGTGTGGCAGCTGGTGTGGCAGCTGGTGTGGCAGCTGGTGTGGCAGCTGGTGTTCCAGCTGGCTGGGCACCTGGTTGGGCAGCTGGTGTGGCAGCCGGAGCTGGCGGTAACGGCGATGTTGGCAGTTGCTGATGTGTTTCTGGTCGCCTCAAGTTTTCATGTTCAGCGTTTGCCTGCTGGTGTTGCCTGGTCGCGGTAGGAGGCCCAGGTGTGTCGGGTGCTTCGTCAGCTTGCTGCTGCTTCACTGCATCAGTAGCTCTCTTGCATGGTGCTGATTTGGCAGCAGTGGGCTTTGGGGCTGCTGGCGCTGGTGGGCTGGTAGAAGGTGCTGCCACTGGTGGGCTGGTAGAAGGTGCTGCATGGGCGGAAGGGCTGTAGTATTGTGTTGCAACACTGGGCAGTCTGTCACCTCCAACCTCAACCTTGCACTGCGATGGTAGGGCCGAGGCCTGGCTTGGGACCCCTTCACCACCTCCCTGGTTGTGCCCAGTCAGGTTGTCATGTTGTTCTGCTTTCCCGTTCATGCTGCCCTGGGCTTCCTTCTCTCTGAGTTTCTTTGCTTTTTTTTCAGCTTTGCGAACTTTCCTGCTGGGTTTGGGCACTGATACCTTTTCTTTAGAGCTGGGGTCCACTGCATCTGGCTCAGCAGTGAAAACCCTGCGGATCTTGGATGGGGGCGTATGGCATGAGGTTTCCAAAGCATGCTCCAACTGAGAGTCTGATGCTGGGACTGTGGTGGCTTGGCTGTCAGATTCTCCTGCGCACTTAAACGCTCGCAAAGATGGTTAGGGGGGTGTCAGAGCTACATGGAAAGTATCTGCGCTGGTCTGAACAAGCACTATTATTTAAGTTTATGGATTTGCACGTGCTACTTGAGGTGGTGATTATTAATTGAGCTGCATGTGTGTCTCTAGCTAGTATATGAAAGATATGTGTAGCAACGATTAACTAGGTCACAGGTGTCATGTCCATACAGGACCCTTCTCAAGTTACACAACCAAGGGTTTTAATATGATCGTAGTAACTGGTGGAAAAATCAAGAGGATACTGGAGGGGGATAAATCAAAATGATGCAATTTATCAGCCAATATAGGTGACAACTGGGCTCATGGTTTGTGCCAACATAGAATCTTGCAATATATGTTCTTATTGACCAGAATGCACCAAGCACATGGCTAAAGTTTATTTGGGATCATATGGACAAAAAAGAAAACTTACAATGAGAATTTGGATGTGCATATACACATGCAACAAGATCCATATACAATAGAACATCATTATATAATATATTATATATACAACGTAGTGTACAATTTAGGATAATATCTGGGCGAATACAGGGCTTCTATTTGGGAGAGACATGATGCCGGGAAACACCCAACCTTCTGCAGGCCGTGGCATCACACGTGCTTCTGGACCAGGCGGCACCGGCTTGGCAGCAAGCTGTGTTGACAACCTGGTCGGGGAGTGTAGGACACACACAATAGAATCGTTGGAAGACCATTTCGGGATATAAGCTACAAAAAATGATCATATTATATTAGTTTGTTATAATAATAATATAATTATTATTCATGGTTTATACTACTAGTTTATAAAATATAATATTTTATAATTTTAATATTATGATATAATAAGAATACATATAAATATAGGGTATTATTATAATTATTATATATTTTATTATAACGTAATAATTATATTATTAGTTTTGCATGGCTGATGCATACGCTTCGAAGGCAACATTAAGAATCCTGTTGATTTGTTCTATGGTGTATGATGCCAGTCATGCTGTTATGAAACCCAAAGAAACATGTTGGATATTATCGGTCTACGTAGTTTTCACAAATGAAATGTTGGTCATCGTAACATCAAAACCGAGTGACCTGAAATACATGTACTAGAATGACTGGAGGCATGTAGTACAAGGGCAATTGACAAAAGACAATTGATAAGTGCTAAGTAGATTGAAACACCTGAAATAAACATGGTAACATGTCAAAGAATTTGTAAAGGACATGAATATCATAATCTATATTATATAAGATATACTCTATAGTATTATATTATAATTAATATAAATTTATAATATTTATAATATATATTTTAAATTTTAATTTATAAATATTGTAATACAATATAATAATAATAATAATATATTTTTAATTTAATAAATATATATTATATATATATATTATATAATATATATTATATTATATATTATATATTACACGCATATATATCACAATTTATTGTGAATTTTATATAGTATTATTATTGGTATTATTATCAATATAATGTTGATTGATACCAATCACATCACAGTATACTACAGTACATTCGACAAGAACCACAGTCAGCAGTAGACGTACATGACCTGAACCGATCATGGACCCAACCCAAAATTTCACATGAATGATTGGACAAATACGATCATTCAATATAAATTAGCACGAACCGAGTGTAAACGATGCATGATGCACCACATAAACACAGCTCCAGCATGTCATGGTGTTGAAGTGCATGCATGTTATACCATATGTATAATACAATGCAAAATATATATCATGTATGTTTTAGCATGTATTTGATCCTGCATAATGTATTTTTTGTGTGCATGGCAACATCATGGTGACATGGTGTATTCCCAATATGAGATATGTAACATAGCAGAACCCCACGGCAGCATCTGCGGAGGTAGATCAACATTAAGCAGCCGTTCCATGCTAGTAGTAGCGGCATTTAGCTCGGCGTGCCTTTGTGCACGGAGCGCCGCTGCTTCCAGCGCACGACGTGCCACATCAGCCATGATACCCAGACTGTCAAACCTACACTACCCTTCACCAAAGACTTTGATCCATAAAGTTGTGAATGGATGGATTTTCCAATTCAGCAACCAAAACGAGAGTGGTGTACATACATGTGCAGAATGACCACAACATGGAGTTTATCACCAATTCATGGCACAAACATGTTTTGCCATGGTTTGCTATGTTTTGCCCCCAAAACGTGTTTGTGGTACCATCTGAAAAAGTGGAATTTTTGGGGTTATGTCGTTCACGGTTTTTAATGGTGGTTCACGGCATTTAATGGGGGTTCACGGAAGTTTCACGCACGTTTCACGCTGTTTCACGCTACCCCCCCCGCCCCACATTTTTTGGGGTCTCTGAATCTACTGCAAGGTGCAAGTTGCTAGCTAATGAGCCGCAATGTTTTCTTTTGATTGACGCTGCTAGGTGACACATAGGTCACGTCAACATTAATTTGACAGTGTTCCGAAGCAGGTTCATTCAAACAACATTCATTTGGTTTTTGCAAAACAAAGTGGGAATTCATGGTAACTATCAATTCTTCCTGCCAAAAACACATGCACTGTCTCTATTAGATTCCCTCCACGGTGTTGCAACCCAATGTGTAATTATGCAACACCGGGCCCGGGTTAATTTAGATTGTGTAAATATTATCTAAGCCATCACTCAGCAACGGGGTGTAAGCACCAGTTGCTCGCTCCTGCTTCAGGAAGTCAGAGATGGGTGCTAGCATTGCATGGCGCCAGCGGTAGGGCGCCTGGCAACGGTGAGGATGGGTTCGGAGATGTGTAAGCCATAGGATGTGTATCCCAAAGTAATGGGTGCAAATTTATAATGATGGCATCATGCTACGGATAGCTCAAACCAACAAATATTTTGGGTTTCCAAATTGCAAACAAAATCTTTAATCTGAATTCATGGAAGTGGTGGAAGTCCAGTTTGTTCACTTCACTAATTACTGGTGAACGTAGGAATCTATATTAGGGATAAATAAATGACAGCTAGCATGCTAGCAAAATAATATGAAGAACACGGGCAAGTAGCATTGAAGTAAATTTACTAGCTACAATATCTCTCAATACTTGTGTTCCAAGTCTTCGTTTGGAGCATTCATTCAAAGAATAGCACTTTGGAGTTATCATTTCAGTTGGTACAGTATGTTGTTTATCATACCTTGACCTGAAGATATCTTAATTGATAAGATTCACTCGGAAAATTGATCAAGGGTGATTTTAGGGAAGTACGTATTTCTACCATAAGTAGAGTTCATCCAGAATATGCCAACATGGTAGGAAAGCACGACCAAAATGTTAAAGCACTGCAGGGTTCATAAATTTATTGCATATATATATTATATATATATGGCTTGAGGCTTTTAGCCGTCAACTACTTTATTTTGCCATGTGGGCAGTATATGTACTACATGGCTTGATTACTAAGTGTGCATGTGTCAATTGGGACCGGTAGCCACCCACAAGACTAGAAAGGAGATACTGCGCAGCTTTATGACCAATAGTCAACACATGTAATACCATGCAGGGCCCACTACATGATTGTTTTTCATGTGCATTATAAAATATATTAGATCTATATAATATAATAATATAAAATAATACATGCATATATTATATATGCATATTAATATTACTAATATTATTATTTATATTTATATTATTATTATTATAATATTATATCTAATATATAGTATATTATTATATATATTATTGTAATCATTATAATATATTTGCTATACATAATATGTGCATGTGTATATATGATATTAATAATGATTCGATATAATATATAACAAATTACACATACAGATTGGTGTCCAGGCTGTTTTTCCACACGCGTGTCTTTCCAAGACCTGCTGCGCCCCATGCCATTCAGCCTTGAGCTGCTGCGGTTGTTTGACGCCAGGCTGCAAAGGAGGAGTCACAATGCCACCAGCTCGTTCCTGAGACATGGGCCGGATTGGAAGGCAGGGATGAGAATAATAATTGTTTAAGATATAAAACAAATTTGAATCATTGTCAGTTAAGAAGATATTGCCAAAGCTCCGTCGTGTGAAGTTTGAAGATATGCTTGGCAAAGCCTTTTGGGTATTCAGCCGAGCCCTTCATAGCAGGCCCCCCCTGCCTTAGTTTTTCTGATGAATGCAGTGTGTTAGTCCAACCGGCCAACTGATGTATCATCAAAGCACTTTTGAATGAAGAAAGTCATTCCACCATCGTGTCACAAATAGAGAAATAACATGTTTGGTCACACAATACAATGCATGTCATAAAAAACATATCTGCCATCAAAAAAGTAAATAGTATTCATTCACACATGCATGCATGTACAACATATTATATAACATACGTACTTCGACTTGAAAATCAGGCTGTCAAGAATGATCACTGGGTTTCAGCACAGCAGAAACTATAAAGGACTTGTTATACTCGATCAATGTAAAGTAACAGGAAAGTTGCAGTCATGATACACTGTCTTACGTCCTCGCTTGTTGATCCTCTTGATAACCATGGCATTCTTTCGGTTCTCCTTTGCCTTTGCAATGCGTGCCTTGTCCCTCTTCCCCAGCTTGCGCTGCAGTTTCGGAATCCATGCCCTCGGCCGTGTGCGATTGAGGTGACAAGTTGTGGGGATGTTGTCTCTGAGGACTAGGCGCGCTCCCGAAGAGAAGAGTGGGCTTGTTGAACATGGCCCCATAAGCTCCCATTGGACTCAGCAAAAAGGGTCAATAATTTGATTAAGGAACATGTTGCTGGTTTCATATCAACATGACAATGTCCAACATGAGCGATCAGATGAGCACGATGATCACTATTAACGACCCCGATAAGGTATTTGTTTATATAATTTCTAGATTAATAAGAAATATTATCCATATATATGACGGTAAGATTAGCCCTGTACTAAAGCAGTTGGGCTCTGGTCTTGATTGAGAATATTTATTTAAATAATTGGCAACAGATAACGCCAACCTACCAATATCTGATCTAGATTACGTTGTCGATCTAGGAGAGTTGTTATGCATAAGAGGAGTTTGAAAAAACCTTGGACACTGAGCAGCGGGCAAGCTGACTGACTCCCACGGTGATGGTCGAATGGCGAGGGCTGCAAACTTGAAGTATGCCAAAAAAGGCATTAGGCTGGATCGTGGTTGCTCGGTCAGCCACGAACATCCACGGGCAATTGCGATCAAACCCAGCAGGATCCAACGACAAGTAATCCTCGGTGGAATGAAGTCATGCAGGATGGTGTATGGATGTATGGTGATATTAATTTGCAGTATATCAACAAAAAACAAATTCAATAACTGCATGCATATACCCTAGCTAGTCAGTCGACTGTTTGTTTCAGACTACTACGAAACACCTAGTGTGCACTAGCTGATTCAAAACCCCAAAGTGTTGAATCATACCGCAGTAGATTGAACCAAACTGAATCCCAGTACTGACATAAATAGCCTGTATGCAATTGTTTGAGCCATGATACTGGTTCGACAAGCGGACGTATTCACGACTGCTGTCACCCAGAATTCGGACCTTTGATCTTTTGCTGGTGGCTCGGTTGATCCAAACCCAGCTGCTACAGGGCGGACCGCCCACCAGCAAGCCTCCAGGTTTGAGCTGCAACGTCATCTTCAACGCATTCATCCAGCCAGTCCTGGGCCAGGTGGCTGCAAGCATTGGTGCATTATGTTTGGGGATTGGCCAGGGGTCCACAAGCGCAACCTGCCAAAATTGATCGTTATATCGATGATCATTGTAAAATGTTTTCTGAGTTTTCTGAGTGTTACATTGTTGGTTCAAATCAGTTATGTAATGCACATTGCAGATCACAATTCATGGGATTTGTGAACTGCATTTTGTTTTAAAGATGTACTGGATATATAAATATATATGATAGAATTAATTAATATTATTTTTGTTATTAGTACATGATAAAAAATATTACATTAAAATAATACATTATAAAACATATTAATATTATAAAATGCAAATATTATTATATTATATAATATTAAAGTGTGATATTAATAATATTTATGTTTTGTTTATATAATATTATATATATATTCTTAAAATAATTATTATAATTCTTATATTAAATATATTATGCAAATGCTTTTGTTCAATGCTGGATCCCCAGACATACCAACCATGCACAAACCAGCATGAAACAGTTTTGTGGAAATAAAGATAAGAGATGATAAGAGTCATTGTTTCATATGTTGGTTGTCATCGTCAGGCTCCAAAAAGAAAACATAGTAGCTTCAAGTGTAGTGTAGCGATGGGGCATGAGCTAATACTACATAGATCCCATATCACAGGACGAGTTCAGGAAATCCAAATCGAACAAATGTTGGACATAGGAATATGGGTTTGCTGAGTGGCATGGACTTGCCCCAGTGGTCGTGTATTGTGTATGTTATAACCTTCATTTGAAGTATGTTGACAAGGACGCCGGGCCAACCCCCATGTGTGATCAATATATGCAAGGTTTTGATGTTAGGAATCCAGAATCTAAAGCTCACCATATTCTCACCAGAAATAATTGGGACCCGGGCAAGCTGAGAATGTCTCCACTTTCCCCATCATTGATATCGAAGCGCCCCCTCGGTGAAGACTACTTTGATGTCCCACCCAACCATACTGTGTCACATGATGTCTGATTTTACTAGTTTGGATTTTTCAGATTACCATGCGGTTCAGACACAAATACAATCAGTCGACTTACAAATGTAGAAGCAACTTTTGGGCTCCAGACGCTCGCAATCCTTGCTCACCTGGGATGCCCGGCTAGACCAACCCCAGTACGACCAAACAAATCAAAAAACAAGAATGTATTTCAAGTTCCATGGCACATACATGTGCATACCATATCTTGCATCCATGCATGCTCGCATCTTAAGATATAAGTTTTCCGGAACTGGATTACAGAGACACAGGACTCGAAATCACTTGCCTATGCCTATATCAAACATCAACATGGAAGAATCAAATTCTTACACAACCAATTTATTTTGGGATCACTTGCTGACTGAAAATGATACAGGTATATGGAAACCACAATGATAGATAACAACTACAAGAGCAAATATAACCACATAGCTGAACTAGAAGTCAAAAACATATATTATATTATATATATATGCATGTTATATATTATACAATATATTTAAATTAATATTACATGTAATTCTCAACCAAGCAGGTAAGAGGCTGCAGTCTTGGGGGCCCCACTGTAGTAGGTGGATATAGCAGCGGCACCGCAGAAAGCATCCACAACGTCCAGGGCCTTGGGGCTGGGCTGGCGATTAACTTTCACAATATATATTATATTGCACAGAAAACGAAATTCACATTTCATTATAATATATTGTGGATGCTGAATACACTTCACATATGTTATCTAAGTCTGGCTCATAAACCAAAACATTGAGATCATACGTTACTTAGATATCATCAGGACAAAAACAAAGATATATAATATACTAAATATATTATATTATATTATAATATATATAATTATATAAATTAATATATATTATATATTATAGATCATTATAATCGTGGTATAATTCTATGATGGACATAATGTAGGTCCCCAACCCGATGAGAATCCTCAAGGGGTGCAGTCTGGGCGATATAGTCCAGGAGGTGGATCCTGAGCTGTGGGAAAAATTGGGATGATACCCAAAAGATCTCATGGCCAATGTACAGTCCAAGCTGTCTAACACTCGATAAAAAACACAAGCGAAAATCAAACATTGGTTATTTTCACTCACAGTTGATCCAGGAAACAAGATGATCGGGACTGACCACAATAACAGTTGGTTCGATGCCCTTCTTGATAACGCCAATGGCGAGGAAGTCCATGTTGGACGCACACGTGGAGCCATGACAGCCCTGCACTGAGGCTTGTGACTCTATGTTTCTGAGCCGTTTGCCTGGCCGCAGGTGTTCAGGTTGGCAGTTCATGATGGGCTCAACATGTTTAATTCATATTAATCAGACCTAATATTTTCAAGTAAGTTCACTGCACAAGAACTGCCAAAAATGCCCAGTCATCCTAATCAAAAAAAACAACAAGCAATAGACACCGGCAGTTCATTGATTAACAATATCTACAGGCTCTTATTTTTGCGATCTCAGAATCGCATCTTGAGCTCCACAGCCCCCAGGATGTGGTCACATCAAATCATTCTTGTTTGAGTCTAATGGTCAAATCTAAAGAGACCCCGCTGGATGCCACCCTGGACAGCTGTCCACTGGAGCCCAATGATCAATGTAAATCTTCCAAATCACGCATGTTTTTGGCATGTACCTTGGATTGTTCAAATTTAATACAATTCAATGCATACAATCATCATATATATCATGAATTTTTAAATGACAATCCTTGTACATGCACGAAGCACCATAGAAAGACGGAGACCAGTAAGATACCATCACCATTACCAGTGGCCAGTCTAGGTCCGGGGGCCGGAACTGCTTCCGGGGTCAACCGCACACACACACACACCCACACACCCCACTAAAGTGCATGGCATGACTTAGCGCATGAGGATTTCCCACAAATGTGTAACCAAGCAATTACGAGATAGAATTATGGTTTTCTCATATATTTAATATATTATATAATATAATATGTTCCCTACATGCATGCATGCATGCATGCATGCATGCATGCATGCATGTACGACTTGCTTGACAAATATTTCACCCAATGCGCTAGCACCACCATACAATGTTGGAGTTCCATTCCAAAATTTTACAGTGATCATGTCATCACTGCCACGGATCAAGTAAATCCTAAGGGCTCACTCGGGCACTCACGGTTCAGAGTCGCCGATCTTGTATGGCTGAATCCATGCGGCCACCATTTTGGCCAGCTCCCACCTCAGTAACAAACATAATTCAATGATGAAAACAAACTGGTGACACTACAGAACTGAATAGACAGGATTGTTGACTACCCCCCAAGCCAAGAGTAGGATTGGTTTATTTTTATACATTCTGATGGCAAGTAGACCATCCATCTCATGAAGGTTGAATCACTCTTTAATTGCCGTATTTGGTTCATCCACTTGTTCTTACATTTTACAATATGCCCGGTTTAATATGTTGCGAACCAAAAAATCAAAACATTCAGATGTTACCGACTGAAAATCATGACTGCAGTAACATGTATTTAGTGCATGTGTGTTTGCAGTTTTCTGATGCAGTAATGTCAAAGATGTGCGGCTCCAGATTGCACAGTATTTGGGCTTCCTGCGTTTGTGCTGGTCCACCACGCTTAGCCCAGCTTAGGCTGACGCCACGTTGCTGGTTGACCTGAAGACAACCCAGATGTCAGCTGGTTGAATGTTGATACTGTTCAATCATTTATTGAAAAATGCTTTACCTATGGAGTATGCTGAATCTGAAATCAACTCACACATCATAGATATGTGCATATGCATATATGTCTTGCATGCGCTTGTGAGAAGAACAGTATGTTTGTTGAAGGTTTTGATATTGAATTGGTATCACCCAAAAATGCAATTGGGTAATATAGTTAATTGATACATCATAGAAATCATAAAGAGCAAGCCTGCAGGTCTTTGATTTCTGTGGCTTCTGTGACTGTCTTCAAAGTTTCGTCTTTGACATCCTTGACGTAGAATGCAGCACAGGAAGATCGTGATTGCGCCAGCCTAAGCAGCGACTGTCATGACTCTGAGATCAGGAAGATGGGGTTTCACAAATCACTGACATGAAGATCGATTACATAAACTATACAATAATATATCATAGGTGAATATTGAATATTGTACATATATCAAATATAATATCAAAATAATTAATATTATATTATATAATCTTATATAGTTATTTATATATATATATATATATTATATATATATATTATATATATATATATATTATTATATTATAATTAATATCATAGTTATAGTAATTATAATATACAATAAATATATTATATATTATATTATTTATTTTGTTATATTATTTGTATTAACTATTATAATTATATTATATATATATTATATTTTATAAATTATAATATATATTATAAATTATATTATATATTAATTATATAATATAATAATTATATTATATAATATTATTATTATAAATATTATATTAATATTTTATTTTAGATTATATAATTAATTAATATATTCTAATATTACAACATATTATAATATTTAATAATATAAATATATTATTTTTATAATATAATATAATATATATAATATATATAATAATTTTTATTTATATAATAAATACAATATAATATATAATATAATATACTGTATATAATAATATTTATATTATTATATATATTTTATAGAATTAATATATATTTATATGTATATATTATAAATTATATAATACATAATATATTATATCGATAAGCAAAGGCCAAAACAATGGGGCCCCAGGCAAGATCTGAATGCGGGTTGCCTTCCCAACAAATGCTGGGTCCAGATCATATGGAGGAACCAAAGTCCAAGACCTGAAGCGAGGCACTAGGTGATCCCTGAATAAACTTATTATCATTGATCATCAGTAATGAGAATTGCTCACATGATGCATTGTCTATATTACCAGGGCTGAAAGTGTAATATATATAATATATATATATATTATAAATAACATATAAAGATCGATGATGTATTTTGTACCTTGACTCATCAAAACCCTTAACATGTATCCTCTATCACCTGATCTGAGGGAGTCACTTTTGAAAAAGCATCTCATCAGCCGGAGGGATGCGCAACCACGGGTCGCGGACTTCTGATTTCAGGATGGCCAGGTTTGCAGCACGGGCCTCCCAAGGCAAAACGGGTTGAATTAAACACAATTTTGATTCATATGAAATTTACAATTTTATAATATAATATATATTCTATTATATATGGCGAATGTGCCAGAACAGGGGTACTGATGGACCATTCAGTAATATATCAACTGCAAATGGCAGGCACAAGAAACTCACATCTTCCTAACTAACTTGCACTTTGATGAACTGCGGTTACATTAGTTAATTGAGCAAGTATATAAAAAAAATACCTTGTATAAATTATACATTTCTTGCACTATATATTTTACACATAAAAAACATATTATATTATGCATGCATGTATTGAACTCAAATCTTTTCAACATATCACGGCAACACCATCCACCCCCCATAAAACCCAGTATGCGCACCAGTTCTTGCTTGGCTGCTGCTTCCCTCTTCTTCTTTTCTGCTGCCTCCTTGGCCAGATCAGGCGGGTTGTCGTCTTCTGCTTCCTTATCTCTATTGTGTTCTTCCTTTTCTTCCTTTTCTTCATTCCCTTTGTTTCCTTCTTCCTTTTCTTCCTTCCCTTTTTCCTTTTCCTGATGATCTTCCTTTCTCGCAAGCTCCTACAGGGGATAGGGTCGATTCACAAAATTTATCTCTTGGATCTTACGAGGCAAGGTAAAATGGAAACTTGTACACAATTGACTTGAACACAACCTGTAGTGCAGTTGGCAGGACTGCCCTTCAAAACATTGTACAATTCACACACATTTTAAAATGTTACCTGTCCTCATGATCCTTGGTTTTCTTGGATTTACGCGGACGCGTCGTTGATTTCTCAGGGCTTTTTGACGAGGACCTCTTCCCTTTGTCTGAAGGGGCTTCCTTTGGGATGGCTGGTGGTTCATGTCGTTCTTTCGGGGCCCCAATCTTTTTTTTGGGAGGTTCGTCAGTCAAATCCTGATCCTCAACCTTGTCTTCACCATTCATGGCAACAACATCAGGTTGATTTTCATCAGCCTGATGTTCACCTTCATCAGCATCACCCTCATCCTCCTTCTCACGTTCAATTTTTTTTCCTTCAGAAGATTTCTTCTGAACTCCATCTGAATCCCTCTTCCTCCCACGGCCACGTCCTCTCCCACCCTTGCCTTTGCCCCTTCCCTTTCTCTTTGGCCCAGAACCAGACTCATCCGGGAGGTCATCAGCATAGTACCTGTCAGGATCTTCATGTTCCAATTGACCTTCCCTTTGCATCTGGCGTAGAGCCGCTTGGGCCTGCACAGCATGCATGCACTTGAAAACGGGTGGTACATATGTACTTGGGGTATGTGCATATAATAAGTGTGAAGGGGTGCCATGATCTTCAATGGTGCAGGGGTGCAGATGTGTATGTGCACTGATACAGTACAACTACGATGAAATCATGTAATAATATTTGTGCACATTACTTGTGATGCATGTAACACATAACCAACTATCGGGTGAAACATTGTAATCACTTTACATCAGGCAATGCTTGTTGATCTATATTTGAAGTTCACTGAATGTGATGCAGATGGGGCAGCTAGGCAATCAATGTCAGTTCAGGACAACAAGGCTAACCTTTTTGGGCCACACAGCTACCCACAAACTGGCAAAGCATTCCAAATCAGGGTCTCCTTGAGAAACTCTTTCTCATGGTCAGCTTCTTCCTGGTCAAGTACCTGCATGTCTTCATTGACTTTTTCAAGCAAGTCCTTTTTCATTTCAGGCATCTCGCAAAGAGGTTTTCGATCCTGGAAGGCAATTGGGCGATAGCATGTTATGACTAAAAGGTTTGTTATATGATGTTTTAAATGTTACACGTCGCCAAAACTCTTCAGCGACACTGACCACAGTAGGTTATGTTTGAAGATTGTCGCAACAAAACCTCAGCAAACACATTATCAACTTTTTGCCTTTGATTATTGAGTTCCCAAATAAATCAGGTACAAACAAGTACATGCGTAGCAGGAGTAACACAAACTACACCTGACCCCAATTACACACACACACAGATCCCTATACCCCCATAACCATGCATATATAATACGATGCAAAGTAAAATAGATTAAGTACTTAATTAATATAACAATAAAACATAATTAATATGATTATAAGATATGAATCATGACATCAGTATAACAACTCAATTAATATATTTACTTGTAATGGGTTTGGATCCATATCCATCATATCCGCTAACACACTAAATACAATCCTGTCATTCCCGATCCCCAGTGTTCCTTGAATGTGTTCTTAACCAGGTTTGTGTCTTTCGAAGTCTCTAGATCGCTTGTCATCTCCTCCTCAGCTTCCTGAGCAACCTCAGCTTCTTCTTCTTTTTCAGCTTGATCCTGTTGGGCTGGCGGTTCTTTGGCACCACTGGGCTTTTCTACTTCCTCAGCTTGGGGGGCCTTCTTCTCAACTTGGGCGGTGGCTGCTGGTGGGGTAGCCGGGGTGGTCACTGCCGGTGGGGCAGCAGTAGCTTTATCAGGCTTATCCCCTTTGGACTCCTCCCCTTTGGCCTCCTCTGCCTTGGCCTCATTGTTCGTCAACCCCCCCTGTTCCATCTCCTGGTTCTCAGTGTCAATAGTGATCAACATCGCTGGCATTTTTTTTGGTGGGGACATAAGGGACCCCTCATCATCGGATAGGATTTGAAGTGTCTCATTGTCTTGGAAAAGCACCTCAATATTGAGAGGTTCAACCAGTTCATCTCCAGTTAGTGCTTCCTCTTCAGGGTTCTCAGATTCATCATCATCACTATCTTGTTCGACATCCGTCATGGCTACCATCCGATCTTCTAAGCGTGATGTAGCACCACCTCTCTCCAATTTGGACTCATGCATGGCTGGTGTTACATGCTCTGGGGATGGGGTGCATTCCGGGGTAGTACCGGTCATTGGCTGGGTTTCTTCTTGGTCCACATTGCTTCCCTGCTCTTTCATGTCCTGGCAAACTTTAAAGGGTCCCAGTCACTGTTGATGTGTAGATTAAAATCTGTAACTCGATCGATCAATGAGATTGCATTTTCTCCATTGGTCAGCGAATAGGTTTGAACACACCAATCAAATTTCAGTTGCACAACAAAATGTTCAAGAAAAATACTTCATATCGGGGTGGAATCATAACCGTAAGTACTTCCACTTGAGTATACCTACAATTGGCATGGGAGACTTATACAATCTTATATTATACATGCATGCATGCACATACATACAAAACATCAACAATTTCATGTGTTTGTTGGGTAGTTCAAGACCATTTCTCTGTAATTGCCACTAATACACTTATGCCAGTTCCCCACAAAAAAAGCCCACCTTCTTTTTGGCACTCATTCCACGCCCACGGCTGGCCACACGTTTCCCATCGGGCGTCAACAAGTCATGCTCCTGGAAACGGAGGGAGGGGCATGAATGTAGAAAATATTGTCACCTTGAAAAATGGGCTGCTCCTTTGATGTAAGTGATTGGGAAAAAAAACATGACCACTGCAGAAAACATATGATTTATTCATGCTTGCATGCATCATGTATTGCATCCAACATGGTAACACACACAAATAACTTAATTAACACCAATCAACATAGCACACATTCCATGGCAATCTCTGGCCGATGTAAAGACCACACAAATGTATCGTGATATGACCCGAAGCTTGGTCCTTAAGCTTTTCCTTGATGACTGCCTTGATGCTTTCGATTCGTTCGTGTCCAGGCCTGCTGGGCATGGTGAATAATATATAATGCATAATATATTATATAATTTATGTAATATATAATGGTTGTTTTTGGCTGGAACATTGCCAAACATAAGCAAACGAACACTCAAACTGCAAGTATTCCTACATATGTTTCCGAATATAGATCGAAACAAGACCAAACATACTATCTTTTAATTTAATATTAATTATATAATACATCGATCCATAGGCACACCCATCCAGAATCATTGCAGAAATCGAACTATAAAGACTATACTACATAGATCACAAAATCCTGTATATATAATTTTAATAATTACTATACTAGTACTACTACATATATCACAGTGTACAAATTCAACATGAATAGGCCTGGCACCACGATTCCTTTGGAAGCGATCCATGCACCAACTGGCAGCGCCCATCAGAGTCCCAGCTTCAACTATTGACCACGCCTCCGCAACCACGAGACCCCCTGAAATTTTCCCTGAGGACAAGTAAACAATATATTTGCTTATATTATATTATTATAATTTAATATAAAAATATAATAATGTCAGATCATTAAAATATAATTGATATATCGATCATATATAAATAATATAATAGGTGTTTCTATATTGCAGCTAACCGCCTCGGAACCCGAGTGTGTCTTAAATGCTTAATCCTGAGTGCCTGAATTCAGAATGGATTGACCTGGCAAAGACCGGTGTCGAGCCTCATGCTGCTCGATTCGGCGCCAAGGGTTCAAGCGATAGTGGCTTGATGCCCATGTCAGACTTACCTGTATGGCAAGGGTCTGGGAAGGGCAAGAAATTGATTGGAACCAGAATTTGACCAGTTCAACAATTACCTTAATAAAGCACGTACTTGAATTCTGTTACCAATTGTATGCTTCATGTCTCAATGGCATCTAGACTTCCGACATGAAGATCGTAACAAATTCAATAAATTGTGAAAACAAAATTGGACCATGTCACATTGCATGTCATGTATGTAGTACAGTCACATGCAGCGACCTCACCTCCAACTCCTTGCGGCGTGGCAAGTCGTGGGCGAAGGAGGCAAGATATGCAATCACAATGTCAAAATTGTGATCACTTTCGACCTCCCAAAGCAAGGCATCGGCCAATCAATCTTAGGACGATGACATTGCAAAAAATATCAATTCCCACTGTCGCTTGATAAACGCATGGCCAATTGTGCCACTCACGGCTCTGAATTAGTTTTGCCACCACCCGGAAAAAAGAACAGGCCTCCCGCTCAGTGATGCAAGTTCGAAGGCTCTCCAGGATGATGAACCGAAATTTGGGGACCTTGGCCAGACTTAAGATGACACAAGTGAACGCATGAACCCGAATTTAAATTTTGATTGAAGGTCTTGACTGGGGAATGGGATGGGTTAATAATCTCAAGTCCCAAACATGCATAATATAACACTATTATATATAATATAAACATTATATATATAATATAATAACCCTTGAAGCTAAGTTAAAATTAACCCTGGAAGTCCTCGACCATTAACATAAAAACGCGTGTGTGTGTGCTGCATACTAGCTACTATGTGCATGAGTTCAGATAGCTGATCACAGTGAACTGGGTGAAAGACCAGCTTCGTATCCTCCTCACGAAGCCCTGCTCGACAGCGAAGCACCTTTCGTCGTCCACTGATGAAGTTGTTATCTTCACAGAAGGACTTGAAAAACTCCTGTGGCAGGGCTGTCGTAAAAGATGACATTGAATAAGGTCTATTGAACATACTACTCTATGAACATCAGTGAAAGATCCCTGTGTAGCAAACAACCCATGCATGGTCATGTAGGGGCTCCTTGAGTAAGGCAATCCTGTTCGGACACGATCTTCTTGGTGTGTGCATCCATGGCGTAACATCCATACTGTGAGTTGCAGTGCAAAGTGCCAGACTGTCCGGCAAACATATGAAATAACCATGTCAAAAAATATGAAACCATGTGTTTTGTATCTTCATGATTGGGTCTGACCTGGCATGAACAAGCAGCACATGTTAAAACCCCCTGAGTGAGCCAGAATGAAAAAGTTGTAAATTGAATCCATGATGCCCCAGAAAGTGTCAACTTCAACTAGTCAAAGCTAGCTAGGAAAAAATTGCGTGCAGAGCAGGGTTGGTTGGCACCCACGAGTTCATCCATATCGATTATGTCATCCCTGGTCAAGCGCTCGATGAGACCTTGGCACGACCATGGCTAATCATATTGAATGTAGGCTTGGGAAACCAAAACCAAAACAACCTTGGCAAGTTATGCCAATTTGAACTCGAGAAAGTAAGCACCCAGCCGGCAGAGAAAGCCTTCTTCATGATTCCATGGCTCAGGAAAAGAAGGCCAGTATCCCAGAAAATAAAAGACAACACAAATTATCCACTAGATTATCTGATAATCCAAGTACAGGTATACGGTAGCTTACATTTGCTAGGTATCTAGTCTCCCAATTATCTGGATTGTTTTCTTCGAGTATGTATTGAATGATCTAGTCATTCTTATCTTCTGCTGATTTGTTTATCTTTTTTGTTTTGTTCAATTTTGTTCATCTAGATGTATCTTTGCTACCTGATTGCCGACATGGCAATCAAATGGGCCAAAATGGCCTCCACCACCACCAAAACCATGCTCCCCTATCAAACTCTCTGATCTGTAGGTGGTGTACCTGGCAGGTGCCAAGAAAAGGTGGTTACATGCCATACAATGGTCGACTCCTAACCCCCTTTGTTTGAATGGTCGACGACTTCCAGGGTATATATATATATATGCATCGCTATTTGGGTGGTTGAAGCACTCTAAACTCTATCTCCATTAGACTAGAAAAGGCGTGGCAAAATTCATTTGAAACTAGACATGTTATTTTTTTGAAGTCTGTGAAGACACTATTGTAGTGTTTCCATGTGATTGTGTTACAGTACTACCTTCCATTGAAAAAAGTAAACAACTTTTGTTAGAACGGGAAGGCAACCCCCTGATTTGTTGAACATGTTATTGGATGTTATTGGCATGTTCAATGAAATGGTTAACTTTGATACAGTGCCATCAATACATTCTGCGCTGGGCCAGCAAAAGTCCACCAAATAACATGATGCCAATATGTTTTTTGTAGCCAGCTGGTCTCACACTAATGCCTTGCCATGGTGCAGTCTGTCATTGTTGAAGTTATATTCTAGTTAATAGATGTTAATAGTGGAAGTACATATAATCAATGTTTCATTTATATAAATGATTTTCTAATTAATAGTGGAAGTACATATAATGTTCAATGAGTTTGAGCTGCGAGGGCAGCAGTTGACCCAACAAAGGCAACACATTGAGCTAAAGGCAAAATTGCAAACAATATCAGGCAATGTATTTTTTTTCACCTGCTTTCATTGCACAAAGAGAAATATGTATATAGTCTATCAAGTTTTGTGCCTGTGCTACATTCCCAGCTGCTTTGAAGAAATGAGGTTCTTCAAAGAAGTGCAGTTTTCCTTACAAAGCATCCACTTCAACCAAAAAAGTTCTTGTCATTTATAAGCTGGTGGTTGCATTTGAACTAGCCACATGTTTTTTCAGGAAGAAATCTCTTTGTGAAGGTTGGGTTCTTTTTATAGAAAAACAAAATGTGTTATCTACAATGTGTATTGTGCTCTGAGTGCAGTATTCCTGTCTTTTCCTTTATCATGGTAACATTCCTTCAGGCAGATGCTGTTTTCTTCAAAGATTGAATACTTAACTTAAAATTGCAACCGTATTTAAACAGTTTAGTTTAAACAAAAGAAACACTATTGTATCAAAATATGCAGTGTATCCTCCAAAGATGTAGCATTCCCTCAAAGAAGCTCAGCTGGCCTTTATGTTTGAAAGTAGCACCATTTCTTAACAAAATGTAACACCCCTTTTCATCGAAACCCAGCTGCCATCTCTTTGGAAGGAGCATCATTTGTTTGAAGGAAAGGCTTTACTCACCAAAAAGAACATTGAATCAGCTGAATCAGCTGCCTCTTTTGACAGTTACACCATGTTTTGAACATATGTAACAATCCTTTGAATGATACCATTTCTTTGGACATATATATATGTATGTATGTAACACTCCTTTCAAAGAACTCCAGCTGCGCTCTACTGGGACAGGAACACCCTTTATTTGAAGGAAAGGTTTCCCTCACCCAAAAAACATAATTTAGGAACACCATTTGTTTGAAGGAAAGGCTTTACTCACCAAAAAGAAAGTTGAATCAGCTGCCTCTTTTGAAAGTTACACCATGTTTTGACAAAATGTAGCAATCCTTTCAATGACACCTTTTCTTTGGAAATATATAACACTCATTTCAAAGAACTCCAGCTGCGCTCTACTGGGATAAGAACACCATTTTATTGAAGGACAGGTTTCCCTTACCAAAAACATAATTTTACATCCCCAAAGGCTTCACACCTGAAATGAAGAATTGCACATCCCCAGAGAATACTACGCATGTTTAGCATACAAAACTTTTTAAATAATGACTTGACAAGAATGCCTTGGGGGGCAAGATGAATCAGATTTGCTTCCGATCAATCTGGATTAATCTTGATTGATCTTAAGGAACCAAACGCCCAAAGAAATGGTAGCATATAATCACACAAAAAGCTGGACAGGAAAATATTTTTTTAACCGCAAATACCATCAAAAAAAGCTCAAGGTAGGCCCTGGTGGGGGGGTGACCATGTATATATACATATATATATACACATATTATACACATGTAACTATCTAACTATATGTACCAACTTGTTAGTGGAACGGTGTCCCACGTAGCAAGCTTACTGATGGTCGTATTTGGTTTATCAGGGTGAACCAGTTACTAAGTGGGATGTATTCGCATATCCATTTGGTCTTGTTTGGAAACAATGTATCCAGGGTTACCATCAGTTTTGCAACTCAATGACTTAAAACCCTAGCGAGATTGCTTATACACCAACTTAAGTACCATAAGTACCATGAATCTTTGTTGCTTAAATCTCAAGTTGAAGCGACTCTTTTGTCTTACCTCTTCTGTGGAAATGGATGCATCAACTTTGATTTCCTGCAGCAAATCTCAGCGAGTCGAGGTCTTGAGACTGTGCTGTATCCCTCTGTCCACAATGCGCAGGAAGCTCATGTCACTTCGACAAAACTGATGGTTGAAAAGGTTGAAACCTATCGGATGCCCCGGGTTGTTAGCTATATAAGTCGGTTTTTGTTTCTATATTTTCTATATCCAAGAACTAGGCTTAGAATGATCAGTATAATCTAATTAGTTGATGGGAATTTAAGCTTCTTGCAACTGGGGGGCACCACCTTGAAGGGCTTACATAATGACATATTCTGTAGGGATGTTCAGCCTAGATGTGGGTGTGTCTGGAAATCGTACTATAATAGGGTATACGGTATACCCAAAGAATTCCAATTTACATTGGGAACATGATCAATAACCAATGGATTCAGGGGTACCCTATTTTCACACAACCCAAATTAAAACTTACATGGCTAGCAGGCTGCATAGATTTTCAATCACCAACCAGGACCTCCAGATGCTGTGGACCTTCAAAAGAGATCAACGGTACCAACTGACAAACATGGGCATCATAGCACTTCAACTTTGCAGTATATGACGAGAACATTATATAGCATTCTGTTGTTTTTTTTTTTTAAATATTATTTTGTTGTAACATGAAAATATCACATCATTTGACATTGCAGAACATTAACTGGTTGGTGGTTTGGAACATGAATTTTATTTTTCCATATATTGGAAATGTCATCATCCCAACTGACTTTCACTCCATCATTTTTCAGAGGGGTTGGTTGAAACCACCAAGCAGTATTGTATGGTATTATATATATATACTAGTATGGTTGAATACATCGATATTTACATCGGTATGATACTGATATATCATATGACACTGATAGTATTATATGGTATTATATGGTATTATATGGTATTATATATATACTAGTATGTAAATAAAACATCAGTATATATACATAGGTATACCAGTATGGTATCATATCAATATCGATGTATTCTACCGGCACCAGATCAGCAATCGAGTCACGAGAAACGGTGGAGTCCAAGGCCGGCGGGAAAGAAGAGCGTGACTTGGATGTGCATCGTTGGTAAATGGCGAACAACCTTGGTATGATATATATATGTAGTATAGATATCCAGTATCCAAACTTGCATTTACATATATATATATTATCATATATATATAATATAATTATATATATGTTTACATATGGCAAATGGGTAAGAACATGTAAGAACCATTGCCCGGATGGTTGGAAAAGGATTCCAGAGGTATGTTCAAACATCTTAGATTGATAGTTTTCTGGTACGACTTTTCCTACGGGGACTTGAGCAACAAAGAAACGACATAGGGCGGTGATTTCTGTATGCGGTGCCGTCTTAAATCCTCTTAGTAATCATTGGTTTTCCTCAAATGGCCAACAAGTGGAATGAATTTTTGCTCCGCAACTTGTTGGAAATCTCTGTATGGAATTAATTCTGCAATTTTATCTAAAGTGAAGCATTCAACGTAGAGATTTTAAGACACCACAGATCTAGGAAACATAACAAGCTCACTGAAACATCACAAGAACTGATGGTTTGTTTAGATTGGATCCACACTTTTTGATGGCAAACATCCATATTATTCTGGTGGGTTCACTCCTGACTGGCCAGGATCATCCCCATTTTTATGGTGATGAAATCCCGTCTTTTCATGTCTTTTTCCGGTGTTGTGGCTTCAATTCCTCCCCAAAAACTGTTGTGGGAAACTCTCTCGCCTTATTTCTACCGGGCGTCCGGTGATGTCCCAAGTTTTCCCAGGTCCAGAAGGTGGTGCTGGGC